TTTCTTTCTTTCTTTCTTTCTTTCTTTCTTTCTTTGATGTTTGATCTTTCTTTGATGTTTCTTTCTTTGATGAAAACTGATGTTTTTCTTTCTTTCTTTCTTTCTTTCTTTCTTTCTTTCTTTCTTTCTTTCTTTCTTTCTTTCTTTCTTCCTTTCGTTCTTTCTGTTGGCACTTCTGGGCCTCCATACCATCAGGAATCGCTGTATGCTATTTCACTATTTCTCAGTGTGACCACATTTTGTGAGCAACTGGTGGAAAATGTGTGCATATTTCATATGCAGTATATAAATTGCAAGTGTTAACAAATAGAATGCAAATAGATAGTATTTCTGCACTGTAGGCTGAAACTCTCATTATTATTTAAAGGGTGCTAATCAGGCAGCCTTTAAAAGAACCTTTACTATAATTTCACTTGTGCATTTGGAGCAGTACGTACAAAACAGCAACATCTTTGGTGTCTTCCCTCTGTTTCCCGTGCAACATCAGTGTCTTTAGCTCCATTGAAGAAGTGGAGTAAAAAAAAAACTATTTTTCTATAAATCTTTTACATTCACAGTCTTTTCTTTACACATGTGCATCCACACAAGAACCTGGAGATGAGAAGCCATGGCATAGTGCTGAAGCTTGTGTTCTTTGATACAGTGAATCAAAGAGCGGAGGGTTTGGTGCATGTTGCTAAAGCTGCACCCCCGCTCTTTGTTAGGATGGTGTCTTCCACCCACAGGTTCTGTGCATTCCTGGAAACTGGCCCACTTTACGGTCTCCAACAGTGCGGGCTTTTGGAGTGTGTTTTCAGATAAAACTCTGAGGGCTGTACTTCAGCAGCCACATTTGTCTTTACAAACAGCTTAAAGAACCATCACATGATGGAGTGTATTCAGGGCTGTTTCACACACACTCTGCTAGGTTTTCACCAGCGGCTGCTCTGAAATGTCCTCTGGTGTTTTTTCCCCTTCACGAGATTTTTTCCTCTTCTTGTGGCCTGAGGAAACAAAACACATTAACAGTTAAATGCAGAAGGACCAGTGTACCTGTCATACACCTACTAGAACCTATCATACTGTTGTTAGATTTAAATTTATAGACAGTATTTATTTTGGCTTCTAGCTAAGGTCACATCATATTATTGCCAGTTACTAGCATTGTAAGGCTTTGGATCTTAATTTAATGTGTA